CGTGCAGCGGCAGCGGCCTTTGTGGGCGCCAGCGTGGCCCCTGCCAAGAAGGAGAGCTCGGTGACCCGGCCGGCTCTTGACCAGTCCAGTCGCTACGCGGATCTGTCCCTGGATGAGGCAACTCTGATCAAGTGACTTGATGATGATGGCATTTTGTTTTTCTTGTGTTGAGCTGGATGCAGGATGCATCGTGTTCACAGCTTGAACAGCTAAAGTCACGCACACTGTTGTGCAGTCCATGCGCTCATTTGCTTGCATACAGGAATGGCAAGCACGTGTTGGTGGCCTACATCATGAAGCCCAAGGCCGGCTACGACTACCTGGCCACGGCCGCGCACTTTGCCGCGGAGTCCTCCACGGGAACCAACGTGAACGTGTGCACCACCGATGACTTCACGAAGTCGGTGGACGCCCTGGTGTACTACATTGACCCGGACAACGAGGAGATGAAGGTTGCGTACCCGAACCTGCTGTTCGACCGCAATATCATCGATGGCCGCGGTATGATGTGCTCCTTCCTGACCCTGGCCATCGGCAACAACCAGGGCAGCTGGGCAGCATTGCGTGGATGACATGTAGCCCTGCATGAAAACAGGTCTGAAGGCTAGATAGCAGGAATTGGAGGCACAAGAGTTTGTTGCTTATGATTTGATGTGTTCAAATTTGCATTGGCTTGCTTGCAGGTATGGGAGACGTTGAGTACGGCAAGATCTACGACTTCTACCTGCCTCCTGCGTTCCTGAGGCTGTACGATGGGCCCTCCGTGAACGTGATGGACATGTGGCGCATCCTGGGCCGTGGCACGACCAACGGCGGCCTGGTGGTGGGCACCATCATCAAGCCCAAGCTGGGCCTGCAGCCAAAGCCGTTCGGTGAGGCATGCTACTCCTTCTGGCAGGGCGGTGACTTCATCAAGAACGATGAGCCGCAGGGCAACCAGGTGTTCTGCCAGATGAACGAGTGCATCCCTGAGGTTGTGAAGGCCATGAGGGCGGCCATCAAGGAGACCGGCAGCTTCAAGCTCTTCTCCGCCAACATCACTGCGGATGACCCGAATGAAATGATTGCCCGAGGCAAATACATCCTGTCTCAGTTCGGTCCTTTGTCTGAGAACTGCGCCTTCCTGGTGGATGGCTATGTTGCCGGCGGCACTGCGGTGACCTGCTGCAGGCGCAACTTCCCCCAGCAATTCCTGCACTACCACCGTGCCGGCCACGGCTCAGTGACCAGCCCCCAGACCCAGCGAGGCTACACTGCCTTCGTGCACACCAAGATCTCGCGAGTCATCGGCGCGTCCGGCATCCACGTGGGCACCATGAGCTTCGGCAAGATGGAGGGCGATGCGTCGGACAAGAACATTGCCTTCATGTTGCAGGACGACGAGGCAGATGGGCCTTACTACCGCCAGGAGTGGCAGGGCATGAAGCAGACCACGCCCATCATCTCGGGTGGCATGAACGCGCTGCGATTGCCGGCGTTCTTCGAGAATCTGAGCCACTCCAACGTGATCCTGACCGCAGGCGGTGGCGCCTTCGGCCACAAGGACGGCCCCAAGATTGGTGCCATCTCTTGCCGCCAGGGTGAGGATGCCTGGAAGGCATGGAAGTCGGGCCAGTTCGGCAACATCAGCCTGAGCGACGGCGTGATTGAGTTCGCCAAGACGCATGAGGAGATCAAGGGTGCATTCTTGACCTTCCAGAAGGACGCTGACCAGATTTACCCTGGCTGGAAGGAGAAGCTGGGCTACACTGGCGAGTCGTCTGTGCAGGCGGCAAGCTTCGACTGGTCCAAGCGTGCAGCGGCAGCGGCCTTTGTGGGCGCCAGCGTGGCCCCTGCCAGGAAGGAGAGCTCGGTGACCCGCCAGGCTCTTGACCAGTCCAGCCGCTACGCGGACCTGTCCCTGGATGAGGCAACTCTGATCAAGTGACTTGATGATTATGGCATTTTGTTTTTCTTGTGTTGAGCTGGATGCAGGATGCATCGTATTCACAGCTTGAACAGCTAAAGTCACGCACACAGTTGTGCAGTCCATGCGCTCATTTGCTTGCATACAGGAATGGCAAGCACGTGTTGGTGGCCTACATCATGAAGCCCAAGGCCGGCTACGACTACCTGGCCACGGCCGCGCACTTTGCCGCGGAGTCCTCCACGGGAACCAACGTGAACGTGTGCACCACCGATGACTTCACGAAGTCGGTGGACGCCCTGGTGTACTACATTGACCCGGACAACGAGGAGATGAAGATTGCGTACCCGAACCTGCTGTTCGACCGCAACATCATCGATGGCCGCGGCATGATGTGCTCCTTCCTGACCCTGGCCATCGGCAACAACCAGGGCAGCTGGGCAGCATTGCGTGGATGACATGTAGCTCTGCATGAAAACAGGTCTGAAGGCAGTTAGCAGGAATTGGAGGCACAAGAGTTTGTTGCTTATGATTTGATGTGTTCAAATTTGCATTGGCTTGCTTGCAGGTATGGGAGACGTTGAGTACGGCAAGATCTACGACTTCTACCTGCCTCCTGCGTTCCTGAGGCTGTACGATGGGCCCTCCGTGAACGTGATGGACATGTGGCGCATCCTGGGCCGTGGCACGACCAACGGCGGCCTGGTGGTGGGCACCATCATCAAGCCCAAGCTGGGCCTGCAGCCAAAGCCGTTCGGTGAGGCATGCTACTCCTTCTGGCAGGGCGGTGACTTCATCAAGAACGATGAGCCGCAGGGCAACCAGGTGTTCTGCCAGATGAACGAGTGCATCCCTGAGGTTGTGAAGGCCATGAGGGCGGCCATCAAGGAGACCGGCAGCTTCAAGCTCTTCTCCGCCAACATCACTGCGGATGACCCGAATGAAATGATTGCCCGAGGCAAATACATCCTGTCTCAGTTCGGTCCTTTGTCTGAGAACTGCGCCTTCCTGGTGGATGGCTATGTTGCCGGCGGCACTGCGGTGACCTGCTGCAGGCGCAACTTCCCCCAGCAATTCCTGCACTACCACCGTGCCGGCCATGGCTCAGTGACGAGCCCCCAGACCCAGCGAGGCTACACTGCCTTCGTGCACACCAAGATCTCGCGAGTCATCGGTGCGTCCGGCATCCACGTGGGCACCATGAGCTTCGGCAAGATGGAGGGCGATGCGTCAGACAAGAACATTGCCTTCATGCTGCAGGACGATGAGGCAGATGGGCCTTACTACCGCCAGGAGTGGCAGGGCATGAAGCAGACCACGCCCATCATCTCGGGTGGCATGAACGCGCTGCGATTGCCGGCATTCTTCGAGAATCTGAGCCACTCTAACGTGATCCTGACCGCAGGCGGTGGCGCCTTCGGCCACAAGGACGGCCCCAAGATTGGTGCCATCTCCTGCCGTCAGGGTGAGGATGCCTGGAAGGCATGGAAGTCGGGCCAGTTCGGCAACATCAGCCTGAGCGACGGCGTGATTGAGTTCGCCAAGACGCACGAGGAGATCAAGGGTGCATTCTTGACTTTCCAGAAGGATGCCGACCAGATCTACCCTGGCTGGAAGGAGAAGCTGGGCTACACTGGCGAGTCCTCTGTGCAGGCGGCAAGCTTTGACTGGTCCAAGCGCGCGTAGACGATGCTTGGCTTGGAATTGAATATACTGCAGTTTCATGCAAATGATAGTTGCAGTTATTTATTTACATCTTTAGGGGTATTTTAATTCCGTTTGGATGTGGGAGTCGGAATGACATGCTCTCTGTCACACTGCACCGAGGTGGCTTTGGCGTCTGAAAGGTGCCCAAAGAGAGGCATCCAGAGTCGAGAAAATCAAAGGAGTTGGGCAGAGTCTATGGCTCGCCCGTTTTTTGGCCAAAACATGTGGCCGGCCTGAGAGTTCGGCGGAGTTAGAGCGGAGAGCAGAGGAGACTCGAGAGGAAGGCCCCTTTGCTTTGTGAGTTTTCCCAATGGCCCCTGGTTCCATGGCGAGCAACAGCCGGGAAGCTGCCTTTTTTTTGTATTGAGATTCTTGGAGTTCTCTCGATGGAACCATGGGGGCCGCTTTTTCTGTTTTCGTTAGACAGGGCTCAAAGAGCGCCTGAGATTTCAGCATGCCGATGGGCCGACGGGTGGCAGAAATGCGCGGGGCAAAGTTGTCTCTCGGACAGGGAGGCCCAAGGGACGGCGTTCAGGCATGCGAGTGGCAGGAAAGAAAGTGGCCTCAAGCAACTTCCATCCGAGGATGGAAGCGATATATCTTTTCGACAGTTAACAGCGCCAGTGTAAATATGCCGACTTGGCTGCGTATGAGAAACTCATCCAGGGGCCCCCCTCTTTCAAACGGGCAGCCGGGGGACGCAGGGGAGCTCAATGAAAGAAATGGCGATTTGAAGTGGTTGGTTGACAACCTCAGAAACGGTTGGTGGAATGAACTCCCCACAAACGATGCCGGGGTCCCCCATCCAAAGTTCATACCCACAGCGAAATAGCTAAGACAAAGTTACTATCTTTGCTGAAAACCATGAGGACCAGTCCGGCGGAGTTTTGGTTTGTCGATGTTGAACAGTGCCAAGCATAGGCATTGACCCCCTTTGCGTTCTCATGTTGGCATGCCAGGGCTGATTCTTTCTTTGGGTAACCATTGGAGATGTGGGGATTGTTCGGTAGTCATTTTGGCTCAGTTTGTGCCTTGCGAGCGGGCGGTTTCTTCCTTTCTTCCTCGATGACACAGCGTTCATCGAAGCTAGCTTTGGCTGGTGCGGCCGCAGGTGCCCCCAGCCAAACATCATGGGGAGTGTTTGGTCCTCGAGCCAGTTCCAGCATCTACCGTATTGTTGCCCCGCTTTGACAAGAAGGCAATTAGTTGGAGCTGAAGGGAGGCTAATGACACCGCAACGCTTCGGGCCAATCTTGGTCATCTCCACACTTTGTTTCGCGGAAGTTGCAATGTGTTGCCAGGCAGCATGGCGCTGCTGAAGGCCGCTGATGCCTTCGTGGCGCCCACGCCTGCAGCTGCGGCGAGCCTCCGCGGCTCCAATGCAGCCATGGCGCAGGCGGATTTGTTTATGTCTGCATAGGATGGCGTTGCAGTTTGGTATACCGCAGGCTCAGAGTGCGCCGTCCTCCAGCGCCCTGCCTGCCATCGCCTGCGGCGGCGCGGTGGCTGCTGCTGCTGCTGTCGCTGCCCAGCGGACAGGCCATGTAAAGTGTTGGTGCACGGCCGACGGCGCACATTGAACTGCGACTGTACAGGCCGCCAGTCACGCACTTCGAGCCTGCCTACCAGCGTGGTCCCAGTCAAGGAGCGGCACCGAGTCAAATGCAGCAGAGCAATCAGCGATCAGTTTCTGGTGCAAGAGTGCACAGAGTTTACAAAACTCGTGCTGTTGTCCTTGAGAGGGGTGAAAGTTATAAAGCGCTATGAAGTGCAAGGACAGCCGCGTCACTCGCCGTGCCCTTGACCAGTCCAGCCGCTACGCAGATCTCTCCCTAGATGAGGCAACCCTGATCAAGAGACTTGGATGCGTACTTGATTTACATTAGCTATTGAGCTGACTGTCGCATTCCTGGTTGAATGTGTGTGTGTGTGTGTGAACCGTCCTGGAGCACGGACGCAAAACTTTAAGCAGCAGGGGGGCAGTGGTCCCTACAGCAGTCGCTGCCTAACAAAGACGCTGCTGTAGAGGATGTGAAATCCACGTCGGACGCGATGTGGACGTACCTGCATTCTTCCTCTTTTCTGATTCCTTTTGCGGTTTCTGTTTGCCGCTGTTGCTTCCTGTTCGGTGTCGATGAGTGACCTGTTGATTTGCATTTGCATTCAAGCATTTTTACTGACTGCGTTTTTCATCTCGGCTAGTGAAGCCTCTCGAGATAAGTGTGTTTACCCACGGCCTGTCCGACATGGCGCTGTGGGCTGGACTCGCCATATGCGGGAGCCCCCTGCGAGGGGATGCCGTTCAAAAGTTCAAGTTCAGTTCACCTTCGCATTGCACTGCCTGCCTTTTGAACAAGGCAGCTCTCATGAGGTATCAGGCTCCGGCAGCTTCATTCGCATTGCACTGCCTGCGTTTTGAACAAGGCAGCTCTCATGAGGTATCAGGCTCCGGCGGCTTCATGCGCGAGTGACAAGCCGGTCAGACACCGACTTTGCAGTTCATTGATTCACGCTCTGCGCTGACTCGGATCAGTTCAATTCACGTTCACGTTCGAGCGACACCTGCATTGACATGAGTTGGACCGACAAGGCAGCTTTTGTGAGGCACAGGTCATGTGTGAATCAGTTGCTACATCGTGCCTGCCCATGCCGCAGTTGTCTTTTATTGTTTTCACCCCTCTCTTTCCAACCTCTCTCTCCCTTGCGAGATGGCTGGACACCAGCTCTATGACATGATGCATTCGCTCCTGCAAAGCATTGCGGCCGGCGCCGTACCTTCACCCAACCCACAGACCACGCCCTTTGCACCGTTTTCCATGATGCCCTATGGTGGCCTCCCGAACTTTGGCAACCCGATGTCCTTGATGCCCTACGGTGGCCTTCCTAACTTTGGCAACGCGACATCCGGCGCCCTGATGCCCTTCATGGCTCAGACCAGCATGCCATCTTCATTGCCCGAGCCCCAGCCAGCACGCGCAGCCGATGCAGCTGCTACGACTCCTGCCGCCGCTCCCTCGACCAACCCACATCCCACGGGCACTCGTCCCCAGTCCCACTCCCGCAGATCCCGGTCCCGTCACAGACGACACCCACCCGGCGAGCACGCAGAGTCCCCCTCACGGCCCCACCACCGCTCCAGGCGATCGCACCGCAACCCCATCTCCCTCCGCTCACGCTCCCCCCCGGCGCAGGTCCTCCCCACGACACTCCCCCGCACCCAGGACCACGGCTCCACATCGAGCCTCGCAAGCCCACACCTCCCAAGGTTCCACTTCCTGGCGCACTTCCGGATGGGACACCGACAAGTCTCAAAGGTCCTCCCCAATCGTGGGGACACCCACCGCAGAGCCACAGCACAAGCCGCTGGGGCAAACGCCACCACAGCACCAGCAACACAGGCAACTGGAGCAGTCAGGACAAGCGACAGTCCTGGCCACAGCAGCAACCTGGGCAACAACCGCACCCCCCATCCCGTGTTGGCCACAACAACGCCAGCATGCCCCCCACCCCTGCACCCGCGGCGGCTTACCCAACCCCCCCTCCCCGCCCTGCACCTCCCCAACCCTCCCCCCAGCACCCCTTGGATGACACTGAAGACCTGGATCCCCCTCCGTCGGAGGCAGAGCTCAACGCAAACTCCGACAACCGGTGGCTTGATCTATGGCGAAGCGTCATGGACACAGCCAAGACTGACCCAATGCGAGTTCCCACGCCTAGAGAGTTGGGGGAGTTGGACCCGCTTCCAGCCTTGGACATCTCCAGAATGGAACAGACCAAGGCCACGTTGAGGCCTGCCTTGCCACCTTCACATGCCGACCTCCTCGCAGAATGCTGGGAACTGCGAACCATGGACATGGATGAGCCCATAGCGTTTCGACCCCAGCTTCTACCATCTCCTGGGACGGGAATCACATGGCATGGTGTTCGCAACCACTTGGTTTCCCCGACCACACCCCTGGCCGGTCGCTGGTGGGCACCCGGAAGCTGGATCCGGCACAGCTTCCCATCACGCTGTCATGTACGTACACGGCACCACCCCGGATCGAATGCGCCGCATGTCCTATGAGAACATGATCCGGCCTGCTGCATGGAGGCCTGAGAACCATGACTACCCGAGCTTTGGATGCTATGCTCAGGCCACTCCCACAGCCTGCAATCCCGCCACGTTAGGCCAGCTTTTGCAGAACTTCACCATCGGAAAGTTTCAGCTTGGGGCCATCGCTTTTGGGGAACTGCGCTCTGTCAATCAGCACAAGATCTTGGAGTCCGGGGGAAGCCACGAGGACCAGCGCAACGTGCGGCGCCACTTTGCATGCCGCAGATGCATTCACTCCAAGCATGCCATGCTGAGAGGTGTCGCGCTGCAGCGCCCGGCGTAGCGGGGCGCGAACCGTACCATATTCCATTTGACCAGGAAAAGAACTGATGCACGGTTTGTTCGCTTTGTTGCCTTTTCTATGACCGATCGTTCGCCATACGACCCTTCCTTTTGGTTGCCGTTTGCCAGCCTTTGGTTCGAACTTGGCCCCTTTCCCTTGTGTTTTCTCATGGCTTTCCAACCCCCTCGAGGCTTGTTACCGATGCTCCAAAGGCAAAACTATCCACAGCAACCTTCGCCCGCTGCATCCAACCACCATGGCAACATGTACGGCAACAACACGGCCGGAACCCTGTGCGGGGCCCTGTTAGGGCCTTGCTATGGATGCTCCTCTACGACCTGGACACCACCGACTACAACTCCAACCCCACGGCCACCCCGCTTCCCACTTCCAGCCATCCACTCCACCGCCCCTCGGCCCCTGGCCGGCGGCGCCCATTTTCCCCCTCCTCCCCCCGGCCCCTTCACCCGCGGCCCCCTTTTCTCCCCTCCCCCCACCGCCTCGAAGGCGATCGAAGGCGACACCCCCTCCTGCTCTTCGCCCCCTCCACTCAGTCCCAACACCAGCAGAGTTCAACCCCGACGACGATCACTACGACACCACCCGCGTCGCAGGGTACGACCTGCCCAAGGTCATAACGCATACTGCGTTCACCCGGCAATTGGGCATTGAGGGACAAGACATCGCTCGCGTTTCCCTCCTCAACTTCTTTCACGAACAGTGGAGCAGTAGGTGGTTGCGCCACCTCGCCCATGGAGGTGAGGTACGCATCTTTGTCGCAAAGTCGATGCCGGAGTCAGTCTTCGCCGCAGGGCCACTCAGCCAAATCCGACAACGACATCTTGACTTGGATGCCCTCGCTCTTCACGTCGCTACACAGGAGGGCACCTCGACCGCCAAACCAGCAGCCATGAAGCTACTAACCAGCAAGATCTTCGACTTCCTCATCTCCCTACGACCCACCACTACGACTGACCCAGCTTCAGCTGCCACCATCCTCCAGCTCCAGCAACAGCTTGCCGTCGCACACGGCCAACTCGCACAGCAAGCACCATGACCCCTCTCAGGCCTCCCTTCTGGACTTCGGCATGAAGCGGCCACTCCCTTCTCCCCCATACCCACGGCGGCGCCCCCCCACGGCGGCACCCCGGCGGCTTCTCCCCTCCCCTCTCCGCCCACCTGGAAGGAGCCTTGCGACCTGCTCCAACCCGCTCCCCACGTTTGCCAATGGCTCACCAGCAACTTCCCACCCGACATTTCCAGACCCTAAAATGCTGGTCCAACGACTGCGCCAAATGGGCGACCACACTGGACTCCGACACCAGAGCCCAACTGGAACGAGCCGCCGTGCTCTGGGGCGTACCAGTCCGAACCCTATCCAAACTAGGGTCATCGGCCCTGGGCCGCATCCTGGCCGCTGCAAGCCACTTCTACCAGTGACTCTCAACAGCACACCGACAACGACGCACAGCCCAGCAACACAATTTTTGGCAACACCACTGCCGCCAATTTCTCGCTGTCCTCCGTTTCACTCTCCGGTTCTTCCCAACCGACGACGTCACCGCACGTCATTTTTGTTCCTGGCTACTCGCACAGCTTCAGCTACTTGACGTTTGCCGTCTCTCGTGTGGCTCTGGCCGACTGAAAGCCCTGCTTGCCCGACTCGGCCTGGATTCCCCCGCTTCTGATTTCTCATCTCAGCTTGTCCTTTCCGCGGTTTATCTGAGATTCACCAGCCATCTCAAATGGCAAACCTTTTTCTCTGTCGGTGCAACTCGCACCTCTCTCATGGCTCGGGATCACAGCCGATTCCGCAAACTACTTCAGGTTCAACGACACCATTTGGTCAACGCCAAGCTGGCCGTTCGATGGTGGGCGCATTTCGATGTTTTCCACTTTTACGCTTCAGTGCCCACCCACGTTGCCGTCCCAGCAACAGACCTCTTCGCTACTGAGCAGTTCTACATTCAGGAACTGCAACCGTCTCTCAATTTTGGATTCATCGAGAGACATTTTCGGCCACGCACGGGCTTCACACGACAATTGGACTTTTCTCAATCCCGGCACATGGGCTTTGCCACCATTTGGCGAAAGCGTCGCAGACTACGACTACCAATCGCTCTGCAACAAGCTTTCCTAGCCAAGCGCATGAGCAACCGCCTGGACTTGTGGCGCCTTTTGGGCGATCTTGGCAGCAACACCCTACGACGATTCGATGCCATCCGTTACATACGGAGCAGAGACTTCCCACACGCTGCCCTATACATCCTTCATCGCATCGCTACACACTTACCTGAACCACACCGCCAGGCATGCATCTCTGCCATTCGATCTAGCCTGCGCTTCCGGGGCCTAATTCCACCCGGCCCCTCCAGACCGATGCTCGCGCCTTTCTTCGCACATTCCTCCTTTCGGACTTTGCTTTTGACCCAGCTCCGCGGGTTTGTCAGATCCACCACCCGCAGTGCTCTACCGTTTCATGTGGCGCAACCACGCATCGTTTTCAAGGCACACCGGAAACTATCCAGTGCCTTGTTCTCACACCTCCAGGCAGCGGAGTCTCGGCGAGCTGTCCTGCACATGTACCGACCTCGCCAAGCGACACCCATCCCTCCCGAAGCATGAGGGACACCTTCTTTTTTCTGGCTCCGACACTCATGAGTTGTTCGACCCCGACATGGTCAGCATGCTTTCTGGTTCGATGCGAAACTCCTTCTTTCCTCCACGCGGGGTCTTGATGAATCGTCTGACTCAGGCGTTTCACCACTGGGCCAGGACCAACAACCTGCCCTCGCTCGATCCATCAACCCTTTCCACTATTGTCGATTTCCATTTCGACCTCTACCTTCCTCGCACACAACAGTACTTTCTACATGCTCATGTTCAACAGGCTCTAACAACCCTGGAGCCCCTTGTCCGCCATTGCGAAGATCATGCGGACTCCCGACTCATGCTCTATTGCCCCGCTGTGTACGGCAAGATGCTGGAAGCCACATTCACGGATCCTGCCATCTTTGCTCCCTTGCGAGTCCCCTCCATTGAGATCCATCAACGGCAACGAGAAAGCATAGAACTGGACCACTGCTCGACGCATCATCAGCTTCGTTGGCGCCTTCTTCCGACCCATGCTTGACGCTCTCGCCAAACTGCTCCACAGCATGGTTGCCACGGCCTGCCCAGACGCATTCTCGGGTGGCGACCTCTTCGATCTCATGCGGTCTTTGCATGAGTTTCTCCGCCTCGGCCACACCCCTCTGGACTGTCGAAACCAGGACCTTTCCGGTTTCTTCACTTCCATTGACAAAGACCGCTTCTTAGCAGCCTGGCGTCTACTTTTGACTTGGTACCGACAGCGGCAACCACATTCCACCACCACACACCTCACTGTGGACACACTTGACACCTCTTCCACCACCCGCGTCTACAACGGACGCCGTCGACAACCTTGACACCTCTTCCACCACCCGCGTCTACAACGGACGCCGTCGCCGACACAAGCCAGCACAACGCACTCTGTGGCTTGACGACATCCCCGAAATCATCCAAGCTACCCTTGACATGCAGATCTTTTCTGTCGGCTTCCGTTCCTTCAGGCAAACACGCGGGGCCCCGATGGGATCGCCCGCGTCTCCTGCTTGTAATTGCGGTCGCCGAGCAAATTTGGGCCAACACCCACCCTACTTCGGGACCTCGCTCCTTTGAGGACACCCTCCTGCTCCGCTATGTGGACAACAGGCTCGTGGTCGCAACTCCTAGATGGTTTTCGACTTCGGCAGCCCACATCTTGTGCGACGAGCACTTCTACGGAGGAGACATCATTTTGGAAACAGAAGCCGCCCTGGATTTCTTGGGTTTTCGACTGGACCTTGAGTGCGGCACCATCTCCTTCATCCCTTCGTATGAGAAGCACAACATGCTCTCCATCAAGTCGGCCGCACCACTGATGCACAAGGAATCTGGATACTACTCCAGACGTACGCTGATCAGCCGGGTTTCTTTTCCTGAAATTTCAGCGAGATCACGATCTCACATTGTTGAAGAAGTTGTACCACCAACACGGTTTCACCTTGCAGAAAGAAGGAAAAACGCACCGGCCTTCCTTTGCCACTATTTGAGATTGCTCCCACTTTTTCACTCTTTGCCCACCGGCAGATTCCCACATGACCTGTTTTCACACCGCAGCTGTTTGACATAAAATCTTCTGCGATTATGGATCTTGACACAGCACGCCAGCTGCTTCAAGACTTTGAACTCATCCTCGGCATTGCCCAGCAAGGCATTGCCACCATTCGCGAGTTCACTGACTCCACCCACTCCACCGTCTCCCCCTGACAAAAAACGAGCTCGTCGCACACATGACAAGACCTCCTCACGCTCTATGGCATCCAAACCTACCCGTGGACAACGCGAAGCTACCCCATCGACCAGGACTGATACCGCTACTGAGGCTGATCCCGAAGCCCCGCAACCTTGGACTGAGGAGGAGATTGATCTCCTCCGCTCGCTTAAGATCAATACCAAGGCCAAGCATGCATGGTCTGTCATCGCCACGAGACTTTCCCGCACAGTCGAAGATTGCAAGACTCAATGGACCTTGCGTAAGTGAGCTCGCCCCGCTCGGGGCCTTGTGTGTGTGAACCGTCCTGGAGCACGGACGCAAAACTTTAAGCAGCAGGGGGGCAGTGGTCCCTACAGCAGTCGCTGCCTAACAAAGACGCTGCTGTAGGATGTGAAATCCACGTCGGACGTCGATGTGGACGTACCTGCATTCTTCCTCTTTCCTGATTCCTTTTGCGGTTTCTGTTTGCCGCTGTTGCTTCCTGTTCGGTGTCGATGTGGTGACCTGTTGATTTGCATTTGCATTCAAGCATTTTTACTGACTGCGTTTTTCATCTCGGCTAGTGAAGCCTCTCGAGATAAGTGTGTCTGTGTGTCTGTGGGTCTGTGTGTCTGTGTGTCTGTGTGTCTGTGTGTGTGTGTCTGTGTGTGTCTGTGTGTGTGTCTGTGTGTCTGTGTGTCTGTGTGTCTGTGTGTCTGTGTGTCTGTGTGTCTGTGTGTCTGTGTGTCTGTGTCTGTGTGTCTGTGTGTCTGTGTGTCTGTGTGTCTGTGTGTCTGTGTGTCTGTGTGTCTGTGTGTCTGTGTGTCTGTGTGTCTGTGTGTCTGTGTGTCTGTGTGTCTGTGTGTCTGTGTTGTCTGTGTGTCTGTGTGTCTGTGTGTCTGTGTGTCTGTGTGTCTGTGTGTCTGTGTGTCTGTGTGTCTGTGGGTCTGTGTGTCTGTGTGTCTGTGTGTCTGTGTGTCTGTGTGTCTGTGTGTCTGTGTGTCTGTGTGTCTGTGTGTCTGTGTGTCTGTGTGTCTGTGTGTCTGTGTGTTCTGTGTGTCTGTGTGTCTGTGTGTCTGTGTGTCTGTGTGTCTGTGTGTTCTGTGTGTCTGTGTGTCTGTGTGTCTGTGTGTCTGTGTGTCTGTGTGTCTGTGTGTCTGTGTGTCTGTGTGTCTGTGTGTCTGTGTGTCTGTGTGTCTGTGTGTCTGTGTGTCTGTGTGTCTGTGTGTGTGTCTGTGTGTCTGTGTGTCTGTGTGTCTGTGTGTCTGTGTGTCTGTGTGTCTGTGTGTCTGTGTGTCTGTGTGTCTGTGTGTCTGTGTGTCTGTGTGTCTGTGTGTCTGTGTGTCTGTGTGTCTGTGTGTCTGTGTGTCTGTGTGTCTGTGTGTCTGTGTGTCTGTGTGTCTGTGTGTCTGTGTGTCTGTGTGTCTGTGTGTCTGTGTGTCTGTGTGTCTGTGTGTCTGTGTGTCTGTGTGTCTGTGTGTCTGTGTGTCTGTGTGTCTGTGTGTGTGTGTCTGTGTGTCTGTGTGTCTGTGTGTCTGTGTGTCTGTGTGTCTGTGTGTCTGTGTGTCTGTGTGTCTGTGGGTCTGTGTGTCTGTGTGTCTGTGGGTCTGTGTGTCTGTGTGTCTGTGTGTCTGTGTGTCTGTGTGTCTGTGTGTCTGTGTGTCTGTGTGTCTGTGTGTCTGTGTCTCTGTGTCTCTGTGTCTCTGTGTCTCTGTGTCTCTGTGTCTCTGTGTCTCTGTGTCTCTGTGTCTCTGTGTCTCTGTGTCTCTGTGTCTCTGTGTCTCTGTGTCTCTGTGTCTCTGTGTCTCTGTGTCTCTGTGTCTCTGTGTTTCTGTGTCTCTGTGTCTCTGTGTCTCTGTGTCTCTGTGTCTCTGTGTCTCTGTGTCTCTGTGTCTCTGTGTCTCTGTGTCTCTGTGTCTCTGTGTCTCTGTGTCTCTGTGTCTCTGTGTCTCTGTGTCTGTGTTTGTGTCTGTGTCTGTGTGTGGGTCTGGGTCTGGGTCTGTGGTCTGTGGTCTGTGGTCTGTGGTCTGTGGTCTGTGGTCTGTGGTCTGTGGTCTGTGGTCTGTGGTCTGTGGTCTGTGGTCTGTGGTCTGTGGTCTGTGGTCTGTGGTCTGTGGTCTGTGGTCTGTGTGTCTGTGTGTCAGTGTGTCTGTGTGTCTGTGTGTCTGTGTGTCTGTGTGTCTGTGTGTCTGTTTGTCTGTGTGTCTGTGTGTCTGTGTGTCTGTGTGTCTGTGTGTCTGTGTGTCTGTGTGTCTGTGTGTCTGTGTGTCTGTGTGTCTGTGTGTCTGTGTGTCTGTGTGTCTGTCTGTCTGTGTGTCTGTGTGTCTGTGTGTCTGTGGGTCTGTGTGTCTGTGTGTCTGTGTGTCTGTGGGTCTGTGTGTCTGTGTGTCTGTGTGTCTGTGTGTCTGTGTGTCTGTGTGTCTGTGTGTCTGTGTGTCTGTGTGTCTGTGTGTCTGTGTGTCTGTGTGTCTGTGTGTCTGTGTGTCTGTGTGTCTGTGTGTCTGTGTGGATGTGTGTCTGTGTGTCTGTGTGTCTGTGTGTCTGTGTGTCTGTGTGTCTGTGTGTCTGTGTGTCTGTGTGTCTGTGTGTCTGTGTGTCTGTGTGTCTGTGTGTCTGTGTGTCTGTGTGTCTGTGTGTCTGTTTGTCGGTGTGTCTGTGTGTCTGTGTGTCTGTGTGTCTGTGTGTCTGTGTGTCTGTGTGTCTGTGTGTCTGTGTGTCTGTGTGTCTGTGTGACTGTGTGTCTGTGTGTCTGTGTGACTGTGTGACTGTGTGTCTGTGTGTCTGTGTGTCTGTGTGTCTGTGTGTCTGTGTGTCTGTGTGTCTGTGTGTCTGTGTGTCTGTGTGTCTGTGTGTCTGTGTGTCTGTGTGTCTGTGTGTCTGTGTGTCTGTGGGTCTGTGTGTCTGTGTGTCTGTGTGTCTGTGTGTCTGTGTGTCTGTGTGTCTGTGTGTCTGTGTGTCTGTGAGTCTGTGTGTCTGTGTGTCTGTGTCTCTGTGTGTCTCTGTGTCTGTGTGTTTTCGTTGACTACGAGGAATGGCAAGCACGTGCTGGTGGCCTACATCATGAAGCCCAAGGCCGGCTACGACTACCTGGCCACTGCCGCGCACTTTGCCGCGGAGTCCTCCACGGGCACCAACGTGAACGTGTGCACCACCGATGACTTCACGAAGTCGGTGGATGCCCTGGTGTACTACATTGACCCGGACAATGAGGAGATGAAGATTGCCTACCCGAACCTGCTGTTCGATCGCAACATCACCGATGGCCGCGGCATGATGTGCTCCTTCCTGACCCTGGCCATCGGCAACAACCAAGGCAACTTGTTGGCACATGTCAGCTCCATTTGCATGACATGTTTTCAACGATTGCGTGCTGAACTTGTAACGTATTGCAATTTTAGCCCAACTGCTCCTTGCTAGACCGCTTGTTCCACAGGCATGGGAGACGTGGAGTACGGCAAGATCTACGACTTCTACCTGCCTCCTGCGTTCCTGAGGCTGTATGATGGACCGTCCGTGAACGTGCAGGACATGTGGCGCATCCTGGGCCGTGGCACGACCAACGGCGGCCTGGTGGTGGGTACCATCATCAAGCCCAAGCTAGGCCTGCAGCCGAAGCCGTTCGGTGAGGCGTGCTACTCCTTTTGGCAGGGCGGTGACTTCATCAAGAACGACGAGCCGCAGGGCAACCAGGTGTTCTGCCAGATGAACGAGTGCATTCCTGAGGTTGTGAAGGCCATGAGGGCGGCCATCAAGGAGACCGGCAGCTTCAAGCTCTTCTCTGCCAACATCACTGCGGATGACCCGAACGAGATGATTGCCCGAGGCAAGTACATCCTGTCTCAGTTCGGTCCTTTGTCTGAGAACTGCGCCTTCCTGGTGGACGGCTACGTTGCGGGCGGCACTGCGGTGACCTGCTGCAGGCGCAACTTCCCCAAGCAGTTCCTGCACTACCACCGTGCCGGCCACGGCTCAGTGACTAGCCCCCAGACCCAGCGAGGCTACACTGCCTTCGTGCACACCAAGATCTCGCGAGTCATCGGCGCGTCCGGCATCCACGTGGGCACCATGAGCTTTGGCAAGATGGAGGGCGATGCGTCGGACAAGAACATTGCCTTCATGCTGCAGGACGACGAGGCAGATGGGCCTTACTACCGCCAGGAGTGGCAGGGCATGAAGCAGACCACGCCCATCATCTCGGGCGGCATGAACGCGCTGCGATTGCCGGCGTTCTTCGAGAATCTGAGCCACTCCAACGTGATCCTGACCGCAGGCGGTGGCGCCTTCGGCCACAAGGACGGCCCCAAGATTGGTGCCATCTCTTGCCGTCAGGGTGAGGATGCCTGGAAGGCATGGAAGTCGGGCCAGTATGGCAACATCAGCCTGAGCGATGGTGTGATTGAGTTCGCCAAGACCCACGAGGAGATCAAGGGGGCCTTCCTGACCTTCCAGAAGGATGCCGACCAGATCTATCCTGGTTGGAAGGAGAAGCTGGGCTACACTGGTGAGTCGTCCGTGCAGGCGGCAAGCTTCGACTGGGCCAAGCGTGCGTCGGCGGCGGCCTTTGTGGGTGCCAGCGTGGCCCCTGCTAAGAAGGAGAGCTCGGTGACCCGCCAGGCTTTGGACCAGTCTAGCCGCTATGCTGATTTGTCCCTGGATGAGGCAACTCTCATAAAGCGACTTAATGATCAAGCAGTATTTTTTTTGTTTTCTCCTTTTGCATTGAACTTGATGTAGAATGCATTGTGTTCAGAACTTGAACAGCTAGAATTACGGACACAGACTATGCGACCATGTGTTGCCTGCCCACAAGGAACGGCAAGCACGTGCTGGTGGCCTACATCATGAAGCCCAAGGCGGGCTACGACTACCTGGCCACGGCAGCACACTTTGCCGCGGAGTCTTCCACGGGCACCAATGTGAACGTGTGCACCACCGATGACTTCACGAAGTCGGTGGATGCCCTGGTGTACTACATTGACCCGGACAACGAGGAGATGAAGATTGCGTACCCGAACCTGCTGTTCGACCGCAACATCACCGACGGCCGTGGCATGATGTGCTCCTTCCTGACCCTGGCCATCGGCAACAATCAGGGCAACTGACCTGCACTGTGTATGATTCTTTTCAGTTTGCATGCTGAATGTCGCTGTTCGCGAGTCAATGGTTGTTTGTCCTTTGCATGCAGGCATGGGTGACGTGGAGTACGGTAAGATCTACGACTTCTACCTGCCTCCTGCGTTCCTGCGGCTGTACGACGGACCGTCCGTGAACGTGCAGGACATGTGGCGCATCCTGGGCCGTGGCACGACCAACGGCGGCCTGGTGGTGGGTACCATCATCAAGCCCAAGCTAGGCCTGCAGCCGAAGCCGTTCGGTGAGGCGTGCTACTCCTTTTGGCAGGGCGGTGACTTCATCAAGAACGACGAGCCGCAGGGCAACCAGGTGTTCTGCCAGATGAACGAGTGCATCCCTGAGGTTGTGAAGGCCATGAGGGCGGCCATCAAGGAGACCGGCAGCTTCAAGCTCTTCTCCGCCAACATCACTGCGGATGACCCGAACGAGATGATTGCCCGAGGCAAGTACATCCTGTCTCAGTTCGGTCCTTTGTCCGAGAACTGCGCCTTCCTGGTGGATGGCTACGTTGCGGGCGGCACTGCGGTGACCTGCTGCAGGCGCAACTTCCCCAAGCAGTTCCTGCACTACCACCGTGCCGGCCACGGCTCAGTGACCAGCCCCCAGACCCAGCGAGGCTACACTGCCTTCGTGCACACCAAGATCTCGCGAGTCATCGGCGCGTCCGGCATCCACGTGGGCACCATGAGCTTCGGCAAGATGGAGGGCGATGCGTCGGACAAGAACATTGCCTTCATGCTGCAAGACGATGAGGCAGATGGGCCTTACTACCGCCAGGAGTGGCAGGGCATGAAGCAGACCACGCCCATCATCTCGGGCGGCATGAACGCGCTGCGACTGCCGGCGTTCTTCGAGAATCTGAGCCACTCCAACGTGATCCTGACCGCAGGCGGGGGCGCCTTCGGCCACAAGGACGGCCCCAAGATTGGTGCCATCTCTTGCCGTCAGGGTGAGGATGCCTGGAAGGCATGGAAGTCGGGCCAGTTCGGGAACATCAGCCTGAGCGACGGCGTGATTGAGTTCGCCAAGACCCACGAGGAGATCAAGGGCGCGTTCCTGACCTTCCAGAAGGATGCCGACCAGATCTACCCTGGCTGGAAGGAGAAGCTGGGCTACACTGGGGAGTCCTCTGTGCAGGCGGCAAGCTTCGACTGGGCCAAGAGGGCATAGATGCTACTCAAGATTGGTGTGTTTTTTCAGGCATAGTTTTGACAGGTTGCTTAGAATTGCAAAGCTAATTTGACTCAATTCGAGGAGTCAGCCAAAAGGCTGATGCTTTTTCAGAGCCAATGAATGTTGCGAATCTTTACAAGAGCTCCATTTTTTCAATTCGAGGCCTCGAAGACCTCGGAAGCTCAGTTTTCCCAGACCCATAGGACCGTGTTCGACAGGTCTCAAAGAGCACCTGAAACCGAAGCCGTCCAAGGAAGCTTCGGAGAAAGAAAGGCGTTGCGCGACCTGACTTCACCCACTGGCTTGTTTATACAGGGGTCCCTATATTTCCCTTTTTGGTGGTTTTAAACATCACTTGTTTGGCCCATGAAAGGTGAGTATCCCTTTGGTGGGGGTGATGTTTTAAGGGGAACAAGAGGAAGCCCTGTTATATGTCTAGAAAACGGTTTGGATGCGCCTTTTGTGGATTTCACTCGTTCTTCTCCCTGTTGGTCTCGTTAGAAATCTTTCAATACTCTTTTAATATTCTGCAGGGGTGGATCCGCAGATTCGCCCGTTGCCTAGAATATTTTTACTCAGGGAGTTGGATCTCGGGCTTTTCCGAGCTCGGCTCAGACTCTAAGAGGACGGGAGTTCCATTTGCGAAGTTGGAACATGGTTGGGACATGGGTTTGCGCTTTGTTGGCCTCTATACCTTGGTCGAGAGGAACACCCAGGGAAGCCATCAGTTTTTAGGGTCCAGATCGCTTTCTACACACACACACCCGGTGGTTTTTGAAGTCTTCGGGAGTCATTTGATCGATGCCTGGCTGCAGCTTTTCGGCTTTTTTTCGCATTTCTCCCCACAATCCTCCCGTTATGACGCAGCGCTCGTCGAAGCTGGCTTTGGCTGGCGCAGCTGCAGGTGCATTTGACTTGAGTGCATTGCGCAACCCAAATGCTGGCCTGCTTTTGACTAGCCTCAGCTGGGCTTTTGAATTTCTCGCCTGGCCTTTTCTCGCTTGCTTGCTCGACTTTGCCCTGGCATCCATGAGGGGGCAAGTCACTCTGGGACTCAAGCAATCAAGTTTCCGGTCGAGAGCGACAGGCAATCGAGAATCTGATTTATTGTTGGTATGGTGAAGTGGCCTAGTTGTCAGGCGGCATGGCGCTGCTGAATGCGGCCTCTGATGCCTTTGTGGCGCCCGCGCCCGCTGCTGCGCCGAGCCTCCGTGGCTCCAATGCAGCCATGGCGCAGGCAGAGACGTCGATGCGCACCAGTGGCATGAGGATTTTTTCTGCGAGTCTGTTGCAGCTTGGTATGCCGCAGGCTCAGAGTGCGCCGTCCTCCAGCGGCCTGCCTGCCATCGCCTGCGGCGGCGCGGTGGCTGCTGCGGCAGTCGCTGCCCAGCGGACAGGACGGGCTGTGAAATGCCAATGGGCAGTTTTTTTTTGCATGTGGCAGGTAGATGTCGGACAAACTGCCCCGGAGGCCGGCAGTCGCGCACTTCCAGCCTGCCCACCAGCGTGGTCCAAGTCAAGGAGCAGCACAATTCAAGCCGGACCCACCCCAAAACGTATTTTGCAGAAGCCAGATGGGACTGAGAGCAATTCGGGAAGCGGCTTTGGCTCAAGTCTTGTTGCCAGGACAGCTGCGTCACTCGCCGCGCTCTTGACCAGTCCAGCCGCTACGCAGACTTGTCTCTGGATGAGGCAACTCTGATCAAGAGACTTGACAGCAAAACCTGTTTTCACTCGGATTGTTGCACGACACTGTGCTCCTGACAGTGTTCGAAGTTGCAGAAGCATGCACTGCGTGATTTGCCCACAGGCACAAGAAGCATGCTGGCTTTGCGAGGTTCTTGGCTTGTGCCGCTGCACATTATGTTTAGGCTGCCTGATGCAGTCTTCTTGTGATGTAATGTTTTTTTGCCGCAGGAATGGCAAGCACGTGTTGGTGGCCTACATCATGAAGCCCAAGGCCGGCTACGACTACCTTGCCACAGCCGCGCACTTTGCCGCAGAGTCCTCCACGGGCACCAACGTGAACGTTTGCACCACTGATGACTTCACAAAGTCGGTGGATGCCCTGGTCTACTACATTGATCCGGACAACGAGGAGATGAAGATTGCGTACCCGAACCTGCTGTTCGACCGCAACATCATCGATGGCCGCGGCATGATGTGCTCCTTCCTGACCCTGGCCATCGGCAACAATCAGGGCAGCTGGCCTGCAAATGTGTGTACAGTGTAGCATGTACCAATCTGTCTAACAGTAATTATGTTTTTGAGTTTTTGTTTGTTCTTTGCACGCAGGCATGGGCGACGTGGAGTACGGTAAGATCTACGACTTCTACCTGCCTCCTGCGTTCTTGCGGCTGTACGATGGGCCCTCCGTGAACGTGATGGACATGTGGCGCATTCTGGGCCGCGGCACGACCAACGGCGGCCTGGTGGTGGGCACCATCATCAAGCCCAAGCTGGGCCTGCAGCCGAAGCCGTTTGGTGAGGCATGCTACTCCTTCTGGCAGGGCGGTGACTTCATCAAGAACGATGAGCCTCAGGGCAACCAGGTGTTCTGCCAGATGAACGAGTGCATCCCTGAGGTGGTGAAGGCCATGAGGGCGGCCATCAAGGAGACCGGCAGCTTCAAGCTCTTCTCCGCCAACATCACTGCGGATGACCCGAACGAGATGATTGCCCGAGGCAAGTACATCCTGTCTCAGTTCGGTCCTTTGTCCGAGAACTGCGCCTTCCTGGTGGATGGCTATGTTGCCGGCGGCACTGCGGTGACCTGCTGCAGGCGCAACTTCCCCCAGCAGTTCTTGCACTACCACCGTGCCGGCCACGGCTCTGTGACCAGCCCCCAGACCCAGCGAGGCTACACTGCCTTCGTGCACACCAAGATCTCGCGAGTCATCGGCGCGTCCGGCATCCACGTGGGCACCATGAGCTTCGGCAAGATGGAGGGCGATGCGTCGGACAAGAACATTGCCTTCATGCTGCAGGACGATGAGGCGGATGGGCCTTACTACCGCCAGGAGTGGCAGGGCATGAAGCAGACCACGCCCATCATCTCGGGCGGCATGAACGCGCTGCGACTGCCGGCGTTCTTCGAGAATCTGAGCCACTCCAACGTGATCCTGACCGCAGGCGGGGGCGCCTTCGGCCACAAGGACGGCCCCAAGATTGGTGCCATCTCTTGCCGTCAGGGTGAGGATGCCTGGAAGGCATGGAAGTCGGGCCAGTTCGGCAACATCAGCCTGAGCGACGGCGTGATTGAGTTCGCCAAGACCCACGAGGAGATCAAGGGCGCGTTCCTGACCTTCCAGAAGGATGCCGACCAGATCTATCCTGGCTGGAAGGAGAAGCTGGGCTACACTGGCGAGTCGTCCGTGCAGGCGGCAAGCTTCGACTGGTCCAAGCGAGCAGCGGCAGCGGCCTTTGTGGGCGCCAGCGTGGCCCCTGCCAAGAAGGAGAGCTCGGTGATCCGCCAAGCTTTGGACCAGTCCAGCCGCTATGCGGACCTGTCCCTGGATGAGGCAACTCTGATCAAGAGACTTAATGATCATGGCATTGCTTTTTTTTGGTTGAGCTGGATGCAGGATGCATCGTGTTCACAGCTTGAACAGCTAAAGTCACAGACACTGTTGTGCAGTCCATGCGCTCATTTGTTGCTTGCATGCAGGAATGGCAAGCACGTGCTGGTGGCCTATATCATGAAGCCCAAGGCCGGCTACGACTACCTTGCCACAGCCGCGCACTTTGCCGCAGAGTCCTCCACGGGCACCAACGTGAACGTTTGCACCACTGATGACTTCACAAAGTCGGTGGATGCCCTGGTCTACTACATTGATCCGGACAACGAGGAGATGAAGATTGCGTACCCGAACCTGCTGTTCGACCGCAACATCATCGATGGCCGCGGCATGATGTGCTCCTTCCTGACCCTGGCCATCGGCAACAATCAGGGCAGCTGGCCTGCAAATGTGTGTACAGTGTAGCATGTACCAATCTGTCTAACAGTAATTACGTTTTTGAGTTTTTGTTTGTTCTTTGCACGCAGGCATGGGCGACGTGGAGTACGGTAAGATCTACGACTTCTACCTGCCTCCTGCGTTCCTGAGGCTGTACGATGGGCCCTCCGTGAACGTGATGGACATGTGGCGCATCCTGGGCCGTGGCACGACCAACGGTGGCCTGGTGGTGGGCACCATCATCAAGCCCAAGCTGGGCCTGCAGCCGAAGCCGTTTGGTGAGGCATGCTACTCCTTCTGGCAGGGCGGTGACTTCATCAAGAACGATGAGCCTCAGGGCAACCAGGTGTTCTGCCAGATGAACGAGTGCATCCCTGAGGTGGTGAAGGCCATGAGGGCGGCCATCAAGGAGACCGGCAGTTTCAAGCTCTTCTCCGCCAACATCACTGCGGATGACCCGAACGAGATGATTGCCCGAGGCAAGTACATCCTGTCTCAGTTCGGTCCTTTGTCCGAGAACTGCGCCTTCCTGGTGGATGGCTATGTTGCCGGCGGCACTGCGGTGACCTGTTGCAGGCGCAACTTCCCCCAGCAGTTCTTGCACTACCACCGTGCCGGCCACGGCTCTGTGACCAGCCCCCAGACCCAGCGAGGCTACACTGCCTTCGTGCACACCAAGATCTCGCGAGTCATCGGCGCGTCCGGCATCCACGTGGGCACCATGAGCTTCGGCAAGATGGAGGGCGATGCGTCGGACAAGAACATTGCCTTCATGCTGCAGGACGATGAGGCGGATGGGCCTTACTACCGCCAGGAGTGGCAGGGCATGAAGCAGACCACGCCCATCATCTCGGGCGGCATGAACGCGCTGCGACTGCCGGCGTTCTTCGAGAATCTGAGCCACTCCAACGTGATCCTGACCGCAGGCGGGGGCGCCTTCGGCCACAAGGACGGCCCCAAGATTGGTGCCATCTCTTGCCGTCAGGGTGAGGATGCCTGGAAGGCATGGAAGTCGGGCCAGTTCGGCAACATCAGCCTGAG